TATGTATGTATGTATGTATGTATGTATGTATGTATGTATGTATGTATGTATGTATGTATGTATGTATGGACGAGCAGGCAAAGAAACGAAAAAATGCGATTGACTAAGATGCTGCCTAGAGAACTTGCTGCTTGCTTATGCTCCCATGTTTGCGAGAACGTGTACTCGAATTCGCCAAAGTATCTTTTATGTGTTCGTGTGTTCATGTCTGTTTCTGTGTGTGTGTGTGTGTGTGTGTGTGTGAATGAGTGTGTGTTTGTGTATGAGTGTTTTTGTGAGGTAGCCCGGAGCAGGGAGCAGTGGAGACGGAGAGGTAAAGACGAATGACAATGTTCTTATTGAATTTGACCCTGCCGTGAGGGGAATTCAGCTGGCCGTCTTGTTGGCCGGGCAAGGTAGATAACAATCCGTACATACTCGGGCCGTATGTGCTTGCTGCAGCAATAAATAATAATGGGCACTCTCGAGTCAGTGACACCACTCCGGTCTGCTGGCTGAGTCCGGTCTCGCCTCTTCCGCCTGCCTCGAGGAGAACTGCCAGTTCGCCTCAGGTCGCACGATGAGGCGTGCCAAGTGAACCGGTTTCTCTGGCACCCACTCCTCCGCTGCCCGGCAGCAGCAAGTGCCACTTTGGCGTACTGGAATAGCAAATGCTCTGCCAACTTTACACTCTTTTTATGCTCACCTCGTCCAACGTCAAGCTCTGCACCTCCTTAATGCGAAATATCATAATTACCTACATACATAAATACACACACACATACGTAGAAAATACACCCCATATGTACATGCAGATGTATGAATTTCGATGTGATTATGTGTTTTTCACCCTTATATATTCCAAGCTTTTAGATGATTTTGACTAGGAATTTGAGTCACTTTACTTTAAGTTTGTCTATGCCTCCAGACTATCAGTAGATCATGAGTAAACCTCGATTTATATAATATATTTCCTTCTGTATTCTGCATTATTAGTTCGTCTAGATACAATCAGCTAAACCTGGGAATTAATTTGATTTACTGGCAGCCCAAATAACTCCATCTGAAATGCTGGCAATGTAGGCCTGGAAGGACGATCTAGTTCATTATCGTGCAACATGGTTATTAGGATTATATGCGAAGAAAAGTTGGGTTTTGGGCAAACTCTTGTTTCACAATTGTTGTGATTACCTTCATTTCGAGTGAAAGTGTTGCGTGAAGAGATTCGAAGGTCAGTTCTACCAGAAGACGACGGCGGATTCGTCTTGACCAACTGTCGATTGGCTTCTCCTTCGATTCCGGTGAAAAGGTGCTAAGCCTCTGTCTGTCACATGACGAACATCATCAGAACAATGAGTTTTCTTGACTCGTTAGCTTCAATTTTGACGATGATACCCTCGTTGCTCTGATAATGTCCGTCATATGACGCACGAAAGCTTAGCACCTTGTCACCGAAATCGAAGGAGATTGCCTCAGAAACAGAGTCAGCATGAATGTTGCAGTAAGGCAAATCGACAGCTGGTGGAACCGACCTTCGAATCTCTTCACCCAACACTTCCACTCGAAATGGAAATAAACTCCACAATTATTAGG